AGAAGGGACTGAAACAATTTAAAAAGGAAAAATTCACAACTTCCATTCTGAACTATACAAATAGAATAAGATCGGGTGGTCAATCATCATCCGAAGACGATTGTGGATACTAACAATCGAAAAGTCGTGAAGTAACTTGACTTTAAATCTACATGGGTCATTTGGTGATATTTTGCAAATAAAGTCTCGCTCATTTAAATATTCCTACTATAAAGAAAAACGCCAAAGAAGACGAAAATATAGAGGTCCCAGGTGATAACGAGAGTCAATCACGTTCAACATGATAAGTTAGAAGAGCGTGTTAGCAATGCGGTTGAATTGTAAAAATAATATGGCATAATAACAAATAAAAAATCGGATTAAAGAAAAAAACATGGCTGCCATCGAGATATACAGGGTGTTTCATCATTTAAGAAAAAACCATGACTTCAGTGTGTAGATAAAGGGAGTCTCAAAATACGCTATTTAAAAAAAACTTTCTGGCTCAAAATCCCACATCACACTTACCAACTATCAGCTGTCAGACATTTCCTGACTGCTATTGATAGTTTTGTATGTTGTTCGATGGAGAAAATATATTTTTTTATAACGAGAGATTATTATACGTGATATCTATTGGGTTGTTTCAAAAGTTTATTCCGTTCTAATGTCATGTTTTTTGTAGCTCCATGTCTCAATATAGTCAACTACTCCACCAGTTAACTCTGGTGGTTTACACATTCGATTAGCCTCGTCCCTCTCACTACCAGCTTTTTTTTCCTCTTATAACAGTTCTCCTCAAATGATCAACTCCATTCTTCCCAAATCTTTGTCTGAAATATTTGATGCGTATCTATTTCTTGGATGGTGAAAATAAATCGTTATCTCAAACGAAAAATACCCTTCTCGAAAATAAAAAGTGTCAGAAAGCCTGGGAATATTCAATGATTAACTTGGTTTATAATTAACTTCTTGAATCAGCTGAACATTCCGATATTCAAATGGCTAGACTCAAAGCTGTTATATCAAAAGAATCTGGTGCCTGGATACCCTCTTAGATGATACATCTTTTAGAATTTCGATAGGTTCGGTTGGGTGCCCCAATTTGTGTTAGTCATAAGTGTAGATGTGGCTCCGCTGATTTTCAAGACATCATTTCATTAATGATCTTATAAAAAGAGCTCTAGTCACTGCAGAAGTTCCTTCAGTTCTTGAACCCCTTGGTGTATGTCGAGATGATTGAAAGCGTCTAGACGGGATGAGTCTAATACCTTGGAAATTTGGGAAACCTCTGCTTTGGGACTTCACCAGCGTAGACACAGTTGTAGCTGCAAAGTCTAATTCCAATGGTGCAGCTGCTTTGATTGCAGAAAAATCAAAATTTCGGATGTACTCCACTTTGCTAAGTTCCTACTGTTTCTTTCCTGTTGCAATTGAAACCTGCGGTGTTTTTGGATCTCATGCTTCTAAATTGTTGGAAGGAATTGAAAAAAGAATGATGAACTGTACCGATGACAACCAAGCCTATTCATTTTTTATTCGAAAAATCAGTAACGCCATTCAAAGGGCATTGCCACATCAGTATTGGGTACTCTTTCGTCCTCCTTTCAAAAGATGAAATATTCCCGAACCCAAAAATCAAATCAAAATTTTCTGTGATTCATCCAAAATAGATTAAGTGAATCGACCATGTCCCGATTTTATTTGAAAACATTTGAACAAGTTCTGGAATTATCATTGTCTCACAAACTCGAAAAATCTACCATAAATCTATCCAATTAGACAAAATTAGACCAGCGATACATTCTAGTCAAAACCCTTGGGCTTAATGGGTTGAAAAATATTGGCAACATATGTTTCATGAAAAGTGTAATCCAATGTTTAACAAACACGAGATGGTCACTGGAATATTTGAAAAGGATGAATACATGAAATATATCAATACTAGTATTTCTAGTTTGGATGATGCTTTAACCAAAGCTTTCACAGGAGTTATTAAGGAATTGTGGTCAGAAGATTAATCTGTGGTCAACACAGTCTCCTTAAAAGTCAGATTCGGAGTTTTGCCCCCGATTCATGGGTTATGCGCATCAAGTCGCCCAAGAGTTTTCATGATGACATTAATAGAGTTAATGAGAAACCTTAACAGAGATTGACGAAAAATTGATCGACATCGAAAAACACAAGAGTCGTAGCTGAGATATTTTAGTAGATATAAATAACTCTCAACATGTAGATGATCTTGTTGGTCAATTAAAATTCACGATGAAGTTCACACACTGTGGACACTCATCAGTAACCTTCGATTATTTCTGTGATTTTAGTAATTAATTTTAAAAGATTCTCTCTAACGGAAAGATTCATAGGCAAGTTTAATGTTGCCATCGATGGCATCGATGGATTAGATATAAGCAATTATACAGCAGACAATATGACTCCTCGTCGTTACAATCTACATGCACTTTCGAATCACAGTGGGTCTACTTAAAGCGGGCATTACACAGCATACTGCAGACATCCCTACACTGGCACTTTGCTTGAATTCAATGATGATTCACACGTGTCACCAATTCCATCAAAATGGTCTGTGAGTGGAGAGGTATACGTCCTCTTTTATGAGAAGAAGGAAACGATTTCGCACCTTTGAGATACCTGAGAAGATTTTCATTTAGTGTTTTCAAATGGTATATTTGACTTATTAATGTTGTGAAATTATCAAATCAAAATATGCTTTATTATCCAAGATCTGAATATCTTATTGGCAAAGTCTAGTAAAGTAAAACGTGTATAAGGGACATTAAATTAACAAATATAAGCTAAAAAATAATACTTAGAGACAAGAGCAGAGTATATGCACAGAACAATATTAAGCCCAGCTGAACAGATACAAATATAAGTACATTGTTTACACAAAGCTACGTGCCAATTACTCGATAGAGCCTTGGTAAAATTCGTCCACACTATAATAGGGCCTCCCAACAAGAAATGAAATATACTACACATGTAAACCTAATACCAACGCAATATATAGCATTCAAAAGTTCAGTTGTGGAATTGGCCGCGGTGGTAGTGCGCCCGACTCACGATCGGAATACCGTGGGTTCGATTCCCGCCTAGACCAGATATTTTTCCAGAGAGAATTTATCTGGTTGAAGCTGGAATGATTCTGCAACCGTGTTAGGAATCATACGTTAAAAGGTAAGGCCTCGTTAGTCCTTAGCTCGCACAAGTTTCTCAACTTCTGAGAGTTGTCGTTCGTATGGGGGCGACAGCTTATTAACGGAAAAACAAATTTTAAATAGATTTTTTTTCAATTATCTACTGCTACGTGTTTGTATTATGCCTGAGAAAACTAGAGTTGAATATAGTACTATATATTTTTTTCCAACAGAAGTCTTCTTCAGAAATTTGTCAGTTTTTTGTGTGGTTTGATTATAATTACTGAATTTGCAGTGTGCTACTAGCAATGTTCAATCCGTTGTTGATTTCTATATATATGAATGTCTTTTGTATTTCAACTTTGTAGACTTTGTCAATAAAAATATCTCCTCAAGAGAATAAACTATATTTTGCATCAACTTTTCGAGTGGTTCATCTAAGATCTAGGACAGTGGTCGCCAACCTGTCGATCGCGAGCTACCGGTAGCTCGCGGAGGCAATTCTGGTAGCTCTCACAACGATTTTAATTTAAAAAATACAAACTGCAAAAATCAGAGAAGCTTCCGAAAATTCCACAAAAAAATCTAATTGTCATAATATTGAACATAAACAGCGGCAACGTTGCGGTGAGCGATCTGCCGCTGACGCCATCAAGCTAGAATCGGCTAGAACCGACCAGCCGGACCAGCGCGTTAGTGGATTGCTTTGAACGGGATAAATACGCACGGCGCGGCGACATTGCGCTTTTGACCCGTTTGTCCTTCTGGCAAACATCAGTTCAAAGGGTAAGGGAGCCAGGCTCCAACCTGAATAAATTCAAGATGACTTCCACATTGCGCTTAGTTTAAAACTGAACGCGTAACCAACGTCCAGCGGTTGGGTTAGTAGAGAACAACAAAAATAATATTATGGCAAGCAGTTGTAAGAAGGTAAAGACATACCACTTTCATTCGGAATGGGAAGAACA